TGCATTCTGTCAGCAATGTAACGCGGCAGTAACGTATAGAGACCTCGGCTTGTAACTATACTCTAATTACTATTTAGAAAATTATAACGCATTAAATTACTCCGTTACTAAAATATTAATCAAATTACTGTAATGCGTTACTAAGTAATGCGTTACTGCCCAACACTGCTGACGTGACATTGCAGTTCTTCGACATCATGAAAGTTTAAACTTCTGATATATGGTTCTCTTTCGAGCGTTCACTCTAAATTGCGAAGATCGTGATGGGAACTCCTCCTCTTCTCCGAAATCCTGAAACCTTATAGGATAACGCCAGTACAATAAACTGGCCAATTGTCACTAATTATGCGAGCACTGTATTTATAATCTCTAAAAGACATCTCAGTTCATCGCAATCTCACAAATCTCTGTTATAAATATGTTATAAATATATATTTATTATGTATAATAAATATATGCATAATGAATCTTTCATAATGTATACAATTCGTGTGTTATAATGAGAGGATTCGTGAGCACGCAGATTTCAGCACTGCATTGCTCAACGCTGCAAACACGCGTTCTAGCCTAAATAGAAACTCTGCATACGCTTGCACCTGTTAATCGTTTATATTTTATATTAGTTCATGCTGCTTTTGTGCAGTAGATGAATAATAATTTATTTGTTTTAGATATTTTATGTTTAGATATTTTTATTTTGCGGGAGTCCCGTGAATGACTCCACAGTGCGTGTGCTACATCCTTTTTACAATCTCCAGATTATAAAACACTGCATTCTGTCAGCAATGTAACGCGGCAGTAATGTATAGAGACCTCGGCTTGTAACTATACTCTAATTACTATTTAGAAAATTATAACGCATTAAATTACTCCGTTACTAAAATATTAATCAAATTACTGTAATGCGTTACTAAGTAATGCGTTACTGCCCAACACTGCTGACGTGACATTGCAGTTCTTCGACATCATGAAAGTTTAAACTTCTGATATATGGTTCTCTTTCGAGCGTTCACTCTAAATTGCGAAGATCGTGATGGGAACTCCTCCTCTTCTCCGAAATCCTGAAACCTTATAGGATAACGCCAGTACAATAAACTGGCCAATTGTCACTAATTATGCAAATCGCATACAAATATCGACAAGCCTGCAGGCAGTATATAATGCGGTGAGACCGACAATTACATCATAATCTTCTTCACGCTGTCATCGTCGAAGACGCACCTGAAGACAAGACAACATCTTCACCGCATCCAATGGCTACCTTCTGCCAAATTTGCATGGGCCCCATCCACCCGACGGACCCGCACGAGCACTGCTTTGCCTGCCTAGGCCTGGCCCACACTGAGGCAGCCTTCTCGGAGTCCAACTGCGTGCACTGCCCTGACTTGCCAGCGCACATTTTGAGGAATTTGGAGGAGCATCGCTTGTGGCCTTACGGGGACGAGGACCACTGCCACCAGCGAGCCCCTGGTGGGCCCTCCCCTCCCTTGGGGTGACGACTACGTCCGGTCCGGTTCCTGTCGCCAGTCCTTTTCACTAACGAGAGCCTTTCACTAACACTGCCCGCTGTTCTTCTTGCTGTTTTACTCAGGAGGGACCTGTTATCTCAAGCGAACGGCTCGATATGGCACCCCAGCCTGGAGCTGTGGAACCTTCATGTGTGGTTACTTCAGGGGTCCTAGAGGGGCTAAGCACCCTGTCTCCCCATGTGCTTGACGCTCATTGAGTCTTATGCACCTTCTACTATAGGCGTCTGTATGCTCTTAAATGGGGAGTGTTCGTGAAATGGTGCTATGATAGAGATATCGACTCGGCAAGCTGTCCCGTGTCGGATGTTCTACGTTTTCCGCAGCACAGGCTAGGTAACGGCACATTACATAAAATGCACGGCGCTTCCTTGCTATTGTTGTTGTGTCTGCCCTGTATTAGTACAGCCGCTCATTTATTCTGGCCAGATTTACTAATGTTGTGTACCTGAGCTAAGATGCTCATTGGTCTAGCTCCGCCTATCAACTATGGGTTTCCCTAGCGGCATCGCTATTGGTTGGGAATTGTGTGTTGTTCTATCCCATGCTTGGTGTGGTCTTAGCCCTTGGTTCGGGCTGATCTTTGCCGCTCTCATGACGGGATTCTATATTGTTCCCATCGCGATCTTCACATGTAGAGTAAACGCTTAAGCTCTTGAAAGAGAACGACTCCGGTTACTGTCGTAACCTCGGTTCCCTGAGAGTGAGAACGAGGCATTGCGAGGGTCACCATGATCGCTGCTAGATCAGTGGGGCAAGCTTTCAGTCTCAGATTCTGAGGTAATTATTGATCTCACTGCATTATATACTGCCAGCAGGCTTGTCAGTATTTGCATGCAATTTGCATAATTAGCACCAGTTGGCCAGTTTATTGTACTGGAATTATCCTATAAGGTTTCAGGATTTTGGAGAAGGGGAGGAATTTTCATTGTGATCTTCTAAATGTCTCGTTCCCACTCTCAGGGAACCAAGGTTACGACAGTAACCAGAGATGTTTTCTGAGCGCACCCATCCGAAGAGCTCGCTGAGAAGGCTGGCTAAGCCATGGTCACACTAGACTTTGAGCATGCTAAATTTCTTTGTGCGCTGCAACGGTCGTGATATGACTT